TTGACGTTATTGACGGACACAGAATACTGTTACAAATATCTTTTCCAGCCTGCGGCTCACAATGATCGTACCTCACGAGCTCGATTCCCTTGCGATGTCCGAGCTCTCGTAGGGATGATACTAGCGTATTGTTGTGATAGCAACCTGCTGCAACCTCTTAGAAAGGGTTTTTTATTCCTAAATTTTGTAACTTCATGGTGACAAGGAAATTTTCAAGGACCGAAAGCACTGAAAACTAGTCTTCTTTACAGCAGTTAAGAAGGTATACTTAGCAGGTTACTTCTAGGCTTTCCTCTTGTCTTACAACAACGGTATTCACATACTAATTGATTCCCCTCTAGATAAACTATTCTGCTTGCTTTTCCCGGAACTTCATCGCTAGGAGCTTCATTGCCCAGTCAACTACTACAAATGCTCCATCTCACTTCAAAGAATCAAGAATTTGCCGCTTGCACTGGTCCTGGTTTTCTGTTCTCAAGATATGCCCTCTCTATTCAAAGATCTTAGCGGCAGCATATTTTGCTTCATACAGATGGTCTTCCGCTTGAACCTTACCCAACTGCATTGTGTACTCAGAAGTAGTACCTCTTACTACTTCAAGAACACTCTCCAGCTTCTCACAATCCACACACCTCCCCTTGTGGCTAATAACACTGACTTCCAGAAAGTATACAGTCACAGCGTTGTGACTGCATACTCTCTGAAAGTCAGTGTCAACAGCATAGCTCAGTGCAAAGACCCCACAGTGATCGGCACATTTACTATCATCCTTTTTGCAATGATTACGGTATGTAGTCTTGAAATACAACTTGCTCTCCTGCAGCCTCTTGCCAACTTCTTTACACCAATCCTGTTCTACTCTCATGCGTTCCAGTTCGTCTATCATCCGCCCCCATAGCTGCAGTATTTTCTAGACCCCAAAATCGGATTTCCTTTGTGTGGCCTCTTGAACTTCTAGTACTCTCCACATCTTTGCAATGGTTCATGTATTGATTAATAATGGTGCACTTAACCCCTGTGCGCACCACGTTAGGTATGAAAAACTCTTAACCGTTTTCGAGTTTGATGGTGCAAGTACCGTAGGCTGGTCTTGATAGTAATATAGCCTCATAGTGAACTCTAAGAAGTGGTCCAGCTGACGCTGTTACGTTGTTTACGGATTCTGTGACGCTGGATTTTTTCAGTAGACACTCCAGGCCCCTCACTCTTCGCCTGTGCTCTAGCCCTCTTTACTTGTCTATCGGAGGGGTTTTCAAATTTCAGATGTATGCATTTAAGCTCGTTGGCTGAGAATCTGTTAGCATCAATACTAAGTACCTAAGTCTTAACTGATTTTGTGGGAGCATTCTGATAGGCGACCATAAGGGTTTGATGGCCAACATCGATAGATGTCTTGCACTTCTGTTCATGGTCTACGACCGCTTGGATAACGCTTTACTTTCTCTTGGAGCCATGACATCGCACACCAGCTGGCACACTTCCTCAGCTTTTTGAACAAATCCAGATTTTTCAGGAAAGGTGCATTTTTCCCAACAATTTGGGATTCTAAATGTGTAATCCTGAGCTTTTGTATAGCATCGGCAAGGCTATCATGCATGCACTGAAGACTTGAACTGAATCTTAGACATTTCCCCTCGCCTGTCTGAAATCCTGTATTTCTATATATGCTTTCGTCAAACGGCTGAAAGAGTCCACATTTCATCATTGATGCTATGTGATAGCCTGTAAGACATTGGTCTAATAGTAATTCGAGTGAAAGCAGTTCTATTTCGGGGTCTGATTATTCGGATTTTGAGGCCTCTATGGAGGGTGAATGTAATGAAGGGGCTTAAGAACCTGTTAGTGAAATCAGGTCCTCGCGATTTGAACCGTCTGGACGAACCTAAAATAGAGCGCGAGCGTCAGAGGAGGATCATGGGCCCTTGAGCCGCGGTCGCTTCAATAGTACATTCAATTAAGTACAATACTTCAATTAGTACAAAGTGTTAGTGCGGAGACTGCCAATCAATGTGGAGGGAGAAAGAAACATCTTTTGTCAAGAAGTAGATGTGGTCAAAAATAAAAATTTGGAGGATGTTACAGTGGAACAGTTGCAGGCAAAAGCCAGATGTATTGTCCAGCATACAGCGTTAGGAAAAACTGGTGAAGGCTGACTCCGTTTGCATTTTTTTGGTACAAAAAATCTTTATACAGCGCTTCCCTGGTTTTCGTTTTCTTCATTTTACATCCTGTTGTTTTCTGTCGATATTGTAAATGTCAACACGGCTAAGAGTGGTACAGGTTTGGATAACTTGAGCGTGAACATATATATGTTTTAAAGTTCAGGTCGTAAATTGAGAAACATTACGTGCTTGTTATTTCCGTAGCACAAGTTTGTGGCTGACTCGGTTCCTTTTTATTATCAAAGCACTGCGTTCTAACCGGTAGGATCTCTGGCTGTCGGCTTGTTTTAGATACGATGGATGAGCGTCAGTAATTTACTGTTCGCTCAGCTGACAGGTGAAACGAGTAACCTTTCATTTAACTTAGGCACACGAATGTGCTATATATTAATGCTGCTCAATGTTAGTTGTAATCATTCCTGGAGCACTGTCAGCTGTAGACGAAACGTCTCGAAGGAAATTAAAAAAAAAAAGTTACTGCAGCAAGAAGTCTTCCTTTGTGCTCTTCACCAGTCTCCTTAAAAAAAAAAAAATAATAAAAAAAGAGATAATTCTTGTACATTTCCGGAACGTGAAAGAAGAGTTTCGTTCACGAAACCAGATGGCGACTTCCCATAATCCGCGACAATACTTAGCGCCTGGTCACACTCACTCCAGAACCGATGGGCCTGAGGTCACAGTGATATACACCGGACAAAATCTAAAGTCCAATACTTTCCGGCATGGACTAAACATATCTCTATAAGTATATGACTCGATAATGGTTAGGAAGAACAAATTATGGGAATATATTTTTTTTACAGCTGTTTGGAATGGCGTGCAAATAACCTGTGACTCTCAATACAGAGAACCGATCCGTCGCCTTTCAATTATTCAACCATCGTTATTTAATTTCTCACTTCGTAGTTCATAGTCTCTAAATAGTGGCCTATATCAGAATGGAAAAAAATTTTTTTCCTTAGTAAATTGCGGCAGCAGCCAAACAGGGAGGGCGAAATTGTTACGTTCAGGTCTTGACATGACGCTTTTCACTACCTTACACACGTGTGACGTACCACATCAAGTGACCTGCATTGAAACGTTTTCAAAATGGCCTTCAAGGATAGCAATCAATCAATCTTTATTGTAATCAGCAGGTAATTTAAAACAAAGTTCAACCAAGTATGAATATTTACTAGTTCATTGTTTGTTGGGATTCAAGGACTTTAAGATTTTTGCGTTTATAAAACAGATTGGCATCATCTGCATATAAATGAAAATCTAGAATTTCAGAGCAGTTATTTAAATCATTGATATCTACAAGAAATAATAGAGGGCCGAGAACTGATCCTTGAGGAACACCTCAAGAAACAGGATGAGGATCAGACTCAGTTTGCCCCAAGGAAACATATTGATATCTGTTGGTAAGATAGGAGATGAACCAATCTTTGGTAACACCACGAATGCCATAATAATCTAGTTTTTCAATCAAGATATTATGATTTACAGTATCAAAGGCTTTAATGAAATCCAAAAATATACTTCAAGAAAATTCCTGGCAGTCAATTGCATGTTGAATCAAGTCAATGATGCTTACGATAGCATGATCCGTGGAGTGTTTCCGCACGGAAGCAAAACTTCTTACGATAAATTACTTTTTCTTCTCCAAAAATTCTAAATTTTTTTATGCATTAACTTTTCTAACAGCTGTGGAATATATAGAGAATAGAAAGGAGACGATAATTAAACTTGTTTGCACGCCCTTTTTAAAAAACAGGGTAACTTTAGCTATTTTAAATAAATCAGGGACAATTCCAGTAGAAAAAGAAGCATTGACTATAATTTCTAGAGGTGCAGATATAACATGTTTGGTAGCTTTTAAAATAGCAACTGGTATGCTGTAAGGCCCAGTAGACTTATTAGCATTTAGCACAATAATTTCATTTTCAATTTCAATTGTTGTTGTGGAAAATAGAAAGAAACTGTCTTGAGGTGGGGCTGTTAGATACCGAGTGGAGGATTTATTTACACGAGGAATATTCTTTGTTAAATTATTTCCAATATTAGCAAAGAAATTATTAAAAGCATCAGCCATTGACTTAGAATCATTTAATTCAACATCCTCAACAAGCAATTTATTTTTTTTACCTTAGGTAGTTATCCATGGCTTAGATTTCATTCTATATAAACGTTTAGAGAGTTGTATGAGAGGGATATGAACATCAATTATGCCTTTATGGGACTCTAGTGTAAAAGGAGTCAAACATTATATTAGGATCAGGATTAGCGTGTAATACACCATTCTCCGTTCGCTTTCCTTTTACTCGGAAGACGATGGCTCGTTGATATATCCTCTTTTTTCAGGTCAACTCCAATCTTTCGACCGAGCTCCACAACAATTTCGTTCGTATCTTCCCGCGTGTCACTAGAAATCTTTGGAATACCCCGGATTTCCATGCAGTCTCGTCTCGATTATTGTTCAACTTCGTTAAATGATTCCTTTAAAGCTTTTAGCTGGTTTGTAGTATCCAGGAGCTTACCCTTCAGACTCTTGTTCTCATTAACCAGTTCTGTCATTCCTTTTTCGTAGGTTGATATTTTTGTTAGTAGGGCCATAACCATTTCTGGATATCGGTTTCGAGCTTTGTGATTGGGTGAGATCAAAACCAAAACAAAGCAAATTTGGCCGAGAGGTGCTGGAAACAAGAAGAACTGAGCTGATTTTTTTTTTGTGGCGGCCATGTTGTAATGCGGTAGTAAGCTGAAACAACATTCGCTAATAAGGACTGGACGTAAGATACCATTAAAAATATTCCTTTATTTCAAACATTCAACGTGCATGTCCGACATTCTCGCATTCTGGAAGAGTAAAGCGGATTCTTTCTAGCACAAATTCTTTGTAACGCTGTGGTCCTTCCACCATGAGCGTCACAGGAATAAAAGCTCCTCCGCCAGCCTGTTTGTATCTGGAGAACTTCTAGGTAGAGCTTGGCCTCGATGTTACCCTCCGTTCTCCGTTGATTTCCCTATTTTGGGTTACAAGAAAACCAATTAAATAAGGTTGAACCAAATAACGCGCACTGATAACAATTGGGACGAGTGAGGTGTGAGATCGCGGAATCGGGACAATTTCATTTCTCTCCAGTATAGGTCGAGGAAAGACAATATCTTGCTTCTCTCCGATTTTTAAATAGACATTATCAATTTCAGTCCATCAAGCCTTTACGAAAAAGTAACAGTAAAGCAAGAAAACAGTAACTTACCCTTCAATTCGTGGTTATTTTGCCTCATCGAAGCAAAGCATGCAGCTGTATGTTTAGAAAGTGCTGAACCGTGCCGATCTGCTGCCCTTTGACATCTCCTAAAGTGTATGTCTTTCTCTGCGATTTGCTGAAAATCTGGACTTCTCGTAGAGCCTCTGGAATGCGTTCCATTTCTCGTGGAAGAAGACAAGCCAGTGCATGCGAGTCATAGGTGTTGTCGTCTTCACTTTGAATAACAAGCGGTGTTCCACATGGAGCTTTGATCTTGAAATTATGATACCTGGAAAATAAACGCCAATAAATACATGAGTGGGACAAAATAAAATCAAGTAGTCACAATTTATATTAAGACGAATACACATGATCGAATTCAATGCAAGAGAATCATACAAGGTATTTTGCGCGCGCTATTGATCGATTCGCGGGAGAATCTAGGTCTCAGAACACTACAAATTCGGTCCTACAGCTTTTAGTCAGCAATAATATGTCCTTTACAATTACCCTTTGATTTGAACACCCTGTATAGAAAGTTGTTTTGGTAATCACTGCAAAATGTGAAAGCACGAGCGGTGTTTCTAAACGAGTTTCACAATTACAGACAAGTCCCTTGTGGTTTTAGACGAAAATTTCACTCTCATCAGTTCGTGTAGTTAAACTCCAACCTTTCTTTCCGGAATACTGTAAAAGAGACACTTCGGCAAGGCTTTCCACCAATGCTATTTCTTTATTTTCATCTTCATGCCGCTCTTATCGCACATTTCCCGGATACGATACCTGAAGATGTGAGAGCTCAGTGAACGAATACCTCTTTGTTTTATGTTTGCCCGAAGTAGAACTTACTCGCTGGATAATCACATTTATGTGTTAGATCCGTGGTTTCCTGAAATTATTTTTTAGTGTGCATTCGCCTTGGCTGAATGAATCTCTCTGATGTCAAGATCGATATTGATTCGAAATTTCATCCAGAGCTCCGATGTAAAAGATTCTTTGTTTGTAGCACTGACCCAGGTCCGTGGCAGATTTGTGCCACAAAGACGACAAAGTGTCTCGAGATACTGAATGTGTTCATCCATGCTGTTGGCTTGATCTGAAATTCACAATGTAGGCTTATAAAGGTCCGATAAATAATTGTCCTTTTACTTTAAATTGGCCGGCCACAACGTATGGTTAAAATTTATGGTTTACACGATACTCCGATGGATCTGAACAAAGGAATCCGTCTGGTAGTTTGCACACCAACAGACTTTCAACATTCGTGCACTCGAGCAAAAACCTCGTGCACTCGATTGGAATTTTGACAAATTGGAAGCAAATTTATTCTAGTTTTTTAAAAGATATTTTTTTAGGAATCAAAAAAAAATGTTGCATACCTGAAAACCTCAACTAAAGAGAGGTTATTCCTCGATAGAGCCCTTCGCAACATGGACCTCCACCCGACTTTTCATCTGAATTTTTCCTTCTAGTCATCGTGACCACCATCAGTTCTTTGCTTGTTGTGTGTAATTGCTTGTCTTCTGTAATTTTGCAAGACTTCATGGGATATGGGTAGGGAACTAAGTCGCTTGGGCTCGAATAAAGTAATGAGTGAGTTTCCTCGATGTCCCACTACGACATCCATGTTGGTGATGTCATCAAGTATCCAGAAATGGTTCTGGCCCGGACTGTTAGAGTTCGCAGTGGCGATAGACTTCTTCACTTCATCAATCGATCTGCGTAGAGGCTCTAAAGCCTCCTCCAACAAATTCTTGAATCCTTCTGTCATTAGATCTCCTATAATGGTACGTAGATGAATTAGGACAACATATAGCGCGAAAAGATAAGAAAAAAGAGGAAACTGCAGCTTTGATAAGCTAAATTAAAAAAAAAATTACCGCCATCTTTCTCGCTGACCGCAAGGGTAGGGTGTAACACCAAAATAATACAAGATAAATAACAGGAAATAAACTGAAATGTGTCTTCGTGGATTTGTAGACACTCAGGATCAATTGTACGTTCGAGGCTGGTTGCTTATTTCAGCATTACGTGTGAGCAAGAGTTTCTAATTTCTCGATGAGAGCCGGCCGCCGATTAAGCGTCAAATAAAATTTGTAGAAAATTTGGTTCTACACATTATGTCGTTTATTTGCGCATTTAGGACTCTTTAACCTAAGGGGAATGTATTGGGACCGAAAAAAAGGGAAAATTTTGGCGTTAGTTACCCTTTAAGCAACTCGCGCCGGAATTGCGGGCAAAGATATTGATATATTAAGCAGGAAACAAGATGTGTTAACAGCAAAGAAACTTCCTTTGTAACCGACTTTCGACTTCAAAATGATCAGCACGACAAACTTCACGTTTGGGGAAATTGTTGAAGAATTTAACCAATGTCACTTGGAGAAAATTCAACACAAATTAAGCAAGATTACCGCTAGTGGGTATCTTCCTTTGTTGTGTTTTAGCTAAAGAACGAAAACCGTTTTGTTAATTATCTTAACTAGAGAAAACAACACTCCAACCCTTGTCTATTGTATATGGTAACTTTTAGTGATCTCAAAGGTAGAAAAGAATATAAATTATGCGTGAAAACACAAAGATGCTGCGCGCGTCATAAACAGCTTAAAACTTTACGGAGGCACCTTAAAAGTTACATAACCTTATGCAATATTACCTCATGCAATATTATGGAAGAATGGAAAAATCGACCCGCGACAGTTTGCGCCACAGGTAATTTAATTAGGAATGATACTTAGCTTTCACAATAATAACAAACAATCTTTTAGCTGATTGGCACCCGAGAGTCAAGTTTGTGAATGACACGTCTGCCATAGAAATACTACCCAAGAACTCTATCAGTCTGCTCAATTCGGCTGTCTCTGACATTCACAATTTTTCTGTGAATCACAACATGAGACTAAACCCAATTAAATGTAAAGAGATATTAATTAACTTTATGTTATATCCTAACTTTACCCTCAGACCATTGGTTGTAGATAACAACGGTATAGAACGTGTATCGACTTACAAGATTCTAGGAATATTTATCGATGGCGACCTTAAGTGGAATAGTAATGTTGATTACATACATAAAAAAGCTTGCAAGTTTTCATGTTTTTAAGTTTTCATTGTGTTATAACTCGTTAATTCAGTAAGTTACTGCAAGAGAGTTTAATAAACTGTTATTATCATTATAATATTACCTATACAATATTACCTTATGCGAGGTAGAATTACGTAACATTCGGCGGCATCTGGCAAAGTTTGTAAGGAATACTCTGCCCTAAGTAAGGGGTTCGCTGGAGATCATTTTAATAAGTTTTAAAGATAACTGACAGCGGTAGCTCACCGGAAACGCTTAAAAATGTGGTAAAACGCACGCGGGCGTTGAAGGCTTTGTTAGTTCGTTTCTTTCCTTTTTTAACTCTTTGTTTGAATTTACTGTTAAAACTGTCAACGATAAAGAAGAATTGTAAGAAAGAAAAGGGAACCCTTCCTTTCGTGAAAAAGCGTGTTACGTAAGCGACAATCGCTTATGTCACAGTCTGATTATCTCTCTTAGGCAGATAATTATCGAAATCTTTCAATACCTAGGAGCGACTTAAGCCTATAGTTACATAACTGATTAGCCTTGAAACTTACTCCGCCAGTCTTGCAGGCCAGAACTGTGGAATCGCTCGGTTCCATCGAGTTCCATTTCGAAAAAAGAAAACAAAAACATTCTGTAATACTTCTTTAATTACATTATTAACTGATGTTTGGTATATTTAGAGGCTGTTTATGCCATATTGAATCTTAGTGCTTTGTTAGGTCGTTATGAAAACAGGCCGGGTCACGTACAACAAATTCCCAAGGCCAAAATGGGCGGACAGTCAAGCTTAAAAGATTACACAAACTGTCGGAAAAGGATATAAAAAGCGCTTTTGGACCATTGGGAATTAGCGCTCTATAAATACTGTATATTATTATTATTATTATTATAAATCTGTGTACACGTTATCCGGCGCGTGAGACATATAATTGATCATTGTCTTTTTGGGTTGAGTGGCACTGTATAAATTTGGCAAACCAGGGAGGCTCACCATCAGTTTGGTTCAGCTGCAAGACACACCTCTTAGGCGGTAACAGTGCTCTTTGCTCGACTTTGCGAAGCAGATTTTAAGATGTCTCATTCAAAATGTGTAAGTTAATTGTAGTGTAAATGGCTGATAGAATAGGCGGGTTAAGTGTCTCTCCAAAAAATCTTTTTCTCCTGACGGTTTTTGATAAGTTTCTTCCAATGTTCAGGTCTTAGCCGATACCATGAAGATGACATGGCTTATGGAGGGCTGTGTTAATGGTCATGCGTTCACCATCGAAGGAGAAGGCACCGGCAAACCTTACGAGTAAGTTTATGTGAAATAACGATCAACCTGTAAATTCTCCTTTTGCGTGGATGCATTGCTGGTCTAACCAAATTTGGTTATTTCAGTTATGTTTCACCTGGCTATGGCTGTCTTTGAAAAAGGGGTTTGTAAGCAAGTCACTTATGTGTTGAAAACCCACCCAAATAGTCAGATGCTAGGGATTCGATTAATGAAAGACTACAATATCGAAAATCCTCTCCATCTGAAATTTCAGAGGCAAACAAACGGGGACATTCCGTGTTACAAAGGGCGGACCCCTTCCATTTGCCGTTGACATAGTGGCACCGACCTTGAAGTATGGATTCAAATGTTTTATGAAGTATCCTGCTGGTATTCCTGACTATTTTAAGCAAGCATTTCCCGAGGGTCTGACATACGACAGGAAATTAACATTTGAAGATGGAGGGTGTGCCACGGCCACCGTGGAAATGAGGTGAGTAATTACTTATTATTTAACTGTTAATCAGCTTTTAAACTTTGAGTTACGTCTGTGAATGATCGAAAACAAAAATCATTTAAATTTTCTTGCATAATCTGCAACACTACACAAAGATTTGGGCTCGATGTGAAAAAGTGAAAATTCACGACGGATTTCCATGATGAATATCATCATGGAAGCATCAAAAGTGCTGTAATACAGCGACAACCGCTTGCTTTTAAAAAATTATTAGGCAACACTCAGTTTGTACAAATTGACCTACTTTTTTTCTTCGTTTCAGGCTAATTTTTCTTTCAACATAGTAATCTAACCTGTTGATTTAGAGGTTTTTTTTCCATTAAAATCTTGTTACCTCGTAAAGTGGACTCAAAATGTATGTTTTATTCATTTTGCGTTCTGAAATGCTTCCTACCTTGACAGCCTCAAAGGCAACACTCTTGTGCACAAGACCAATTTCCAAGGAGGCAACTTTCCCATCGATGGGCCTGTCATGCAAAACAAGACGCTTGGTTGGGAACCAACCTCGGAGAAAATGACTCCTTGTGATGGAACAATCAAGGGAGACACTATCATGTATCTTTTGGTCGAAGGAGGGAAAATGCTGAAATGTCAATATGAAAACAATTACAGGTAATTACGTTGGCTTCGACTGCTGTGTACAGACTTGTATCTGACTTGATCTTAATGGGTTTCCCTCCCGAGTCCCCAAAAAGTCACCAACTGTTATATAACTGTGCATTATAAATTCAATCCATTGTTATGAAATGACGTAATAAGAAGTGGCGAACATAACTTATATATTCAGAAGCAGTGCATCCGACAGAGTCACCTCCTAGATTTGCACGTTTCTTCATTCGTCAAATTCGCTTAAATTTCCGAATTTTGTGATCATAACTTTTCAACAGCATTGGATTACAAAACTGCAAAGCTGGATAAAGGTCCATTTGTGGACATTTCTTTGAAATTATTCTGATCGCTTGCGATCATAATTACAACTCGAACGCGCTGTTCGGAAACTGTCTTCATCTTTGTGGTTACCAGGGCGTCGAAGTAGATGGCTCAATATCTATACTTCCTACTTCAGCGAGAAATCACGGATCATTCTTGATTTTTATTTACTCCAGAGCCAAGAAAGTGATACACGAGATGCCACCGAGCCATTTTGTGGATCTCCGCCTTGTAAAAACCAACCTTGATAAGGAAGGTTTGAAGTTTCAACTGGAAGAACATGCCGTGGCAAGAATCCTCGAGGTTTGAGGATTACTGGGTTTGTCAGTATCAGTGTGAGTCTCTCTTGTACAACAACATGAGATGAATAAAGAAGAGAGTTTTCAACCTCAATTGTACGTCGGTTTTACATGTCTTTAAACTTTCGATTGATTATGAGGAGTTATTAAAGGAAACGAACCAAATCCCTGCTGTTATTATTCGTTGCTTGCAGAGAGTGCATAAAGTTCGCTTCACAGTTGTCAAGGCCCAAACTTTTCTTACACTGACCTACATGATTGATTGATTACATAATTTTGATTTCAACTTTATAAATCATTCAAATCTGAAAGAAGATATATGAGAATTGGTGTTTTTCGACCTTTTTCGAATTTTCGACCTTCAGACACTTTCCTAAGAAAAAATAATGTGAGTTGAAGAAACTTAAAACTTCCTACACGTACACACTAAATTGATTCATGTAGTTCTCCATGAATAAACTATTCCATTACTGGACTTATTGAGCGAGATGACATGCATTGTTGAGCCACGATTCGTCTCACCTTAATAAAGTCAATTCACAAATTCCTCACTTTGGCCGATAAGATTTTAAAATTTCGAACAAGACAAAAACCTCGAGTATGAAATAGAAGATATTACATGGCCGCACGGAGATAAGAAATTGGTCTTCCAGTCTTTAAAAATATTGTAAGAGTATGCGAACAT